TACCAACAAAGCCCTTGGATATTTTTTAAATGATTAAAATGAGGTTTCAAATGATTAAATGCAATAAAATTCAAATCTTTTTTAATAGAGTAAATAAAAATCAAGTGATTATTTATTTGTCTCTATTTATTTTCCCATGACATTTTGACTAAAAAATAAAAATAAAAGAAATTAAAGTGAATAAAAATAGGGCGCAAAAATGCGTGAGAAAATAAAATGAACGCATTAAAGTAATCTACACAAAATAATTTTCTGGAAAACAAACAGATAAATATCATATTTTGCAATAAAAAATGTCTAGTTGAAAAGGCTCAGATTGATCAAAACGCGACTGCAAATGGGATCGAAAAATAAAACGAGTACGCCAGGTTGAACTATGTGAACCGTAGATAAAAAAAACTAACAAGTGCAAGCCTGATCTTAAAAATTTTCGCCATTTAATTTTACGCACATTTGAAATTCAATTTAACCGGTCTGTCTGTAAAACCGAAATTTGATTCTAAGAAAAGCAAAGTAAATTTTGATGCATGAAAGTTTGAAATGCCTGGACAAAATTGGGGTATGGCAGCATCCATGAACACCAAGGGTACATAATTAGGGAAGCAAGGAAATAAATTTTTCAGTATTTTGGGTTTCTTGATATGCCTAGAGAGAGGATACATGAACACATATGTGCTACCTGCGATAGAGTAGGGAATCAAAGCAGTACTATGCTAGAGGTTTCTTCTTCAATTCTTCATTGGGGGTTCAGGAATGTAGGTGTGGTCGTTCAAGAAGAGCGGTTCTTCAATGGCTGTAGCTAAAGGAGGATGTGATTGAACTTTGGGAGCCATTGTTGATTTCAAAGGTTTCTTAAGAGGGAGTGTAATGAGGAAGATGAAAATTGCAGGAAAAACTCTCTCAAGGTTCCCTTTTTCTATTCGTGTTTCAGAAAGATGTAAGTGGCAAAAGATAAGAAGGTTTGAGGGAGAACATGTTAAATAACCAAGGGAAGAAGAGGTTCATTTTTCCCCTCGAAATAATTTTGAACACGTGGTGCACTCAAGCTGACAGTTGGCACTAAAAGGCCATCGAAAAAGATGAAAAAAAGGGAATTAAAGAGTTTTGTCTTAATTTCACTTTTAATAAATCTCATGGGAAATAAGGGATCATGATGATCAATTGCACGCAAGTCTTTGACGTGATGTTTTGGTAGAAAGTGGTCATAATGACAAAATAATAATAATTAAATAGTAAGACAATTCGTTGATGTGACGTGTGCATACTAGGTAAACATTATTGAAGGGTTATAAAAAATACCACCTTTCTTCCATCTGACCATATGATTAAAAAGTTAGCATTGATTGACACAAGTCGATATGGGGACATCTATTAGCTTGGAATTTCTAGTTGGGAAAATTCAATCGAATGTTACATTGGAAAACTGTTAAGTGTTAACATTGATTGATATAAGTCGATAGGAATAGGTACGTTGATTGGAGCATTTTGACTGTCATCTTGAACCCTGGTTTGAAAGAATATCAAGAGCAGATATTTAGACATGGTTTGAAAGAATATCAAGAAAAGATCTTGAGATATGATTTAGAGGAGTCTCAGGAACAAATCTAATTGATCACTCGACATTGTGTCAAATTCGAAGCGTTTAACGAATTTGAAAGACTTAGAATATTCTGGAAACCAAAGACTAGAAAGGGGACTTAGCGCTATCATCAACCGCATTCGAGACGAGTAGGTAATTACCAGACGCTAATAGCAGTTATGAACGTAGGATAATGGTTTTTAGCAATTTCAAGTGTTGACGACGTGCCAGTGCATCAGAAGATCAAATTGCATGTCTTTGAAGAGGCGTCGATTCTCTATAAACAAATTGTCAGAGACAATTATCTTTAGTTTAGTATATACATTAGTTTCATATGTTGTAATCGAGCTCACAAATTTCATATACTTTCTCTATAGATCTAGAGTACCCAAGTTAAAGTGCGAAACAGATTGTGAGCAACATGTGAGTCTACATCCCTTTTGTTTTAATGTCTATGTTTCCTTAATTGAAACATCTTTACTTTCTGTCATTTACTGCGCTTATTTAATGTTATTTATTGCAATTTTATTTTACTTTAATTCAAGTTTTTTCGTCGTTAAAGTTTGTCTTTATCTTGTCTGCACATAGACACTCATAGTCACTTCGTATACATATTTTCTGATAAACGTGTTTGCACAAAATTGCTCCAGAGTTTTTTCAAGTTAATCTCACGGACTTTTAAACTCATAATTGTTCGCTAAAAACATCTATAGACACCAACAAAAACATTGGATGCACGTTATTAATTATAGATTAGATACTTTAAATTAAAATAAAATTTGGATTATTACAACATTGCCTCCATGTAAGAGACCTACTAGATATAAATGGACTTTTAAAGCAAAGTTTAAGGTTGATAGCTCTATTGATAGACATAGATCTCGATTAGTTAGTAAATATTTCACTCAAATCAAAAGTATTAACTTATATATATATATATATATATATATATATATATATATATATATATATATATATATATATATATATATATATATATATATATATATATATATATATATATATATATATATATATATATATATATATATATATATATATATATATATATATATATATATATATATATATATATATATATATATATATATATATATATATATATATATATATATATATATATATATATATATATATATATATATATATATATATATATATAATAGATTTTTTAATGGTAATTTTGATGAGGAATTCTATATGTAACTACCTAAAGGTGTTTATACTACTAATCCAAATCATGTATATAAACATTTGAAAAATATATAACTTAAAATAATCTAGTAGACCATAGTTTGCAAAATTATTAATTCTTTTTACTATCTAAAGGATTTAAACAATCACAATCATGTCATTCTCTATTTAAAAGTCATTGATCTTTATCATTTACAACATTATTGATTTTATGACATTATCATTGCAAGAAACAACTAAACCACCATTATATCAATAAAACGCACACTTCAAGAACATTTTAAGACTAAGGGCTTGAGATATCTCAAGTATTTTAGGATATCAGAGATTGCAAGATCCAAAGAAGGAATCAAAGAAAATATATATTATACCTACTCTACCACACATGCCTCTTAGATGCAAAGCCCTCGTCAACACTAACGAGAGGAACAAGACTTTCAAGGAAGACGGGACACCATTACAAGATCCAACAATCTATACAAGATTAGTTGGCCAACTCATATACCTTATCAATAGAATATCAAACATTTGTTATGTTGTTCAACAATTAAACCAACACATATATAAGTAACCCCGCAAACCTTCGTTATGAAGTTACAATTCTTGTTCTAAGATACCTCAAACTTTCCATAAAACACATTGATACTTATTACTATCATGTGAGAGAAATTACAACAAAAATGTTTCACTTGTTCCCTATTTCTACCCTACAACAATTAGGAGTGTGCATGTATTATAAACCAAACCATGGTTTGGTTTGGATCTTAAAACCATTTATATAAAACCGGTTTATTTTTTTAAAACCGATTTACAAGTGGATTGATTCGGTTTCAAACCGATTTTTAAAAAAAAACAGTTTTTTTTAAAATCAGTTTTAAACCAGTTTCTCTCAAAACCAGTTTTTTATTTTCTTTAAAGAAATCAGTTTTAAAATCTATTTTATAAAAAAAAAATCAATTTAGAGAGGATTTCATATCAAAATAGTATTATCACTAAAAAATTTAACCTCAATCTAAATAAAATGCATCCACCTAAGAATAACTTTATCATTCTAAAGAATTTAACGACAAAATTATCACTAAATAGTAAAAATTGTAGATTAAAATTTGCACCATAGCACATGAATAGTTTTTATAACCATATACCATTTTCTTAAATTTAATTTTCTCAGTTAATCCAGTGTATATTTGGATTTTAATAATTAAAATTAAAAATAAAAGATAAAGATAAAAGGTACTCTACTATAATCGTTCTAGAAGCTAGAACATTCCATTTTATTAATTAAATATATAAATCGAGTAATATTTCTGTAGTATGCGAGTCCCACCCAGTGTCATAATAAAATTTTCCCTTATAAACCAAACATTTTATATAATAAATTCTTCTTTATTATTTTTTTATGACTTTTTTTATTTTTTTATATTTAAAGTCAAGAAATATGGTTATAATACTATGATTTATTTATGATATATATAAAAATAAAAGTTAATTGCTTGTTTTAATATATATATATATATATATATATATATATATATATATATATATATATATATATATATATATATATATATATATATAAGTTTTATTAAATATACATTATCTTAATTGTCATTTATAACCGTGAAATAAAAATAAGATAAACAGTTTGAAAAGTGGATTAACTATGCTTTTAAAAAGTGGTTACCTGTTTTTAATGGTTTTAGTAAAATGAATTTGGACTAGTTTTTAAATCAAATAAAATGGACTTTTGAAATCTATGCATTATATTTTTAAATTTGATTCTTGTTAATCAGTTTTTTTGCACACCCCTAACAACAAATTGTTTGTAGATGTTTTTACAAAAACCAGTTAACCTTTCAACAATATTAGCTCTAAATTGAGACTATAAACATTGACTTGTAATATGTCCAAAAGATTCACCATGGTACAAATGTTGCCACGTCACAAATGTAACTCTATCTTCAAACTATAAAAGTCAAATTTACTGAATTTTATTTTTCATTCATCGATCATATACATTTGAACCATGAATGGACAATCCATAATCCGGAATCCCAATATTAAACAATAAAATTATCCATCTCATCATACACTTGTAATACTATAATTTTATTTATGAATAAAACACTAGTATAGTATCAAACTGTGAATCAATATTATTACAACAACAACGAAAACTTAACTAGTATTGAAACAAAACTCAAAATCAAAGACAAGCAGGGCAATGAACTAACCCATTCTCATTACACTTAGGGCACCTCTGCAGTGTGGAATCACTTATTTCAACCCCACTAATCACCAACTTACAGCTTCCACCACAATCCAAACAAGGCACAAACCTAGCCCCACCACACCCCCCACAACCTTGTCTCCCAACACCTCTCTCCACACGTGTCGCATTCAATATCCTCCCAAGTCTCCCCGTTTCATTTAACTCCGTTAACTCCTCCAAACCACCCAAATACCTCCCTTTCACAAACACCCGCGGCAAAACCACCCCTACCCCCGACTCTTCCTCCGTTAACAACAACTCTTTCACTTCCTTCAAAAACTCTCCGTGAAGTGCCACGTCACGCTCGTCGAATATCACCCTGTGATTCTCCAATAAGTCCCTCGCTTTGTTGCAGTTATCGAAAGTTTTTCTAACTCCTCTTAACGACGTCGTGTATATCACCACGGCGTCGTTTCCGTTCGGTGGAACTTTCTCCGGGTAGTTACTCAGTGGGTCCCTTCTTAACCGTTCGAAATTCGATTCTCTCTCTTCTTTTTGTTTCTCTAACATGTCTTTCTGTATGAATATGTTGTTCTTCAGTTTCGAAGACAACGTAGGTTTTATCGTTCTCAATGGATCACCATCGGTAGTTGATTGAGCTTGTGACTCGTTCTTGTTATTCTCCGGGCTTTGTTTTTGCTTCGCATCTAGTTCTTCAAGTGTTCGGAAGGAAGCAACCTTGCGAGGAGGTGGTGGTTGTGACGACGGAGGAGATGTTAGTGGTGGTGTTTGAGGAGGTTTTATCTCTTTCTCTTGTTGGACAACTGGTTTAAGGTGTTGGAGTGTTTTGCTGACATCTTCCCATGATTGGGGAGATTTCTCGGTGGCGTCGAGGATGTGGAGAATAGGAGGAGGGAGAGCGGGTTTGTATTCTTGAGAAATGGTGTTGGTGTTGGTGTTGGTGTTGTTGTTGAGGTGTTTGAGCCATGGTTCTTCGATGGAGTTTATGTCGAACACGGCGAAGCTCGTCGGCGGTGGCTGGTATACGGCGACTTCCGTGCCGTCGATGCGTTTGGAAGATGCACACCCCATTTCGTTCTTTGTATGATAGCTAGTTGCAGTGACTCTCTTCCTGAGATACTAGCGTTGTTGTAGTAGTACATGTCTTAATATAGGAATAACTAAAGAAATAAAAATAGGTGGGAATTTCTGCAGTCACTAGTATTTGACCAATCAAAAGTAAAATAAATAGAGCGTATTTTTATTTATTTTATTTTTAAAAAATGTAATATTTAGCTGTCAAAAAAATTGATTAGCAATTATCAGTTAAAGACAGAATGTATTTGTCAAATTAATGATATTTTATTTTATAACATGTGGTTCATAATTACCGAATAACTTTAAAGTCTAAACTACACGTTTATTCACCCCTATACATATATTCAGTTAACCGAAATCAGAAAATGAACGAAAAAATAAAAGATAAATTAAATAAGCAAAAAGTTAAAGAAAACAACAATTCTATTAAAGGGATAAACAAAAGCCTCGATAACAAATATATGAGCACAAGAGATTTTTAGAAAAAAAGTCATTTTATAGATTAAAGAAACACTAAATTCAACGGTTACTCATTAGTAGATTTTGACTTAGAAAAAATAACTTATTTTATGATTTTTCATATGGTTTATATACCACAAATTTTAAAGTAGAGATAAATCAGACATAACCCTCAACAAAAATTTAAATCTCGTTATCTTTAAAATCGACTCAATACTCCTAAGTGAAATCAAATATCACTTAAATTAATTAAAGATATTATATTAAATGAAAGACGTCTCACCGTAAGAGATAAATATGATTTTGGGTGTAAAGCAATTAGAGAATGAAATAAATGTTTATTTTAACTCCATTGAATAGAGATTTAAGAATTTCGTGGAAAGAAGAAGTTGATGCTAATGATATGTATACGAGTGACAACTTTAAGATGCGTGTCATTTTGTTTTGCACAATCAATAACTTTTCTTCATTCATTAATTTGTCTGGATACAACATCCAGGAACATAAAACATGTACTATATGTAAAAATTATACATGTTCCCACCAACTATAAACACTACGCCAGAAATGAGTTTTAGCAGCGCACCCTTTAGCAGTGCTTCTTAAAAAAGCGCTGCTAAAGGGTGGGTAAAAAAAAAAGGAAAAAAATGTCCTACCAAAGACAGCGCTTTTGAAAAAACGCTGCTAAAGGGGATCCTAAGAAAGCGCTTTTTAAAAAGCGCTGCTAAAAGGGTACTAAGAAAGCGCTTTTAAAAAGCGCTGCTAAAGGGGGCCCTAAGAAAGTGCTTTTAAAAAGCGCTGCTAAAGGGGGCCCCTTTAGCAGCGCTTTTTCTATAAAGCGCTGCTATATGGCATTGCTAAGGCACCCTAAGAAAGCGCTTTTAAAAGCGCTGCTAAATGCCTTTAAAAGCGCTGCTATAGGTATTAGTATTATAATTTTAAAATACCCTCCAGAATTTTAAGAGAAACAGAACAGTCGTGCAATATTTCTTTTCTTCTTTCTTTCTCCTCTGGCGAACGACCCATTTAAAGTTTCTCTTCTGTTGTCGTCATCCGCCGTCGATCGTCGCCCTCTTTCGTTGGATTGCGCCGCCGTCGCCGTTCACCGTCCATTTTCGAGTCTGCATTGCATTGCATTTCCACCATTGTTAAGGTATGTGAAGTTTTACTATGGTTTTCTTGTTTTTTTTTCTTTTCACCATTGATGGTATTTGAAGACATTAAAGATTTTGAAGGTTTTTCTTAATACTGTTATCTAAATATTGATGCTTTTTCTTTTCACCATTGTTGGTATTTGATGGTTTTTCTAAATATTGAAGGTTTTTCTTAATAATTTTATCTAAATATTGATGGTTTCTGAGTTGTTGACTAAATAGGTAAGAAAAATTATTAATAATTCATAGTAAAATTATTAATGTTGTTTGATGGTTTCTTTGCATAAAATTATTAATGTTGTTGACTAAATATTGATGGTTTCTGAGTTATTGATGGTTTCTGAGTTGTTTTTGTTTTTATTGAGTTATTGAAGGTTTAGTGAAGGTTTTTAGTGTTGTTTTGTATTGAAGGTTTGAGGACATGCAAGTAAATTTGAGTTCAAGTATGATACGTATACTATTGTTTTTGTTGTTGTGTAGATATGTTACGTTTGAGGACATGCAAGTAAATTTTAGTGTTGATACGTATATTGTTGTTGAGTTATTGTTTTTGTTGTTGAGTTCAAGTATGATACGTATATTGTTGTTTTGTATTGAAGGTTTGAGGACATGCAAGTAAATTTTAGTGTTGTTGTTGTGTAGAAATGAGTTATTGAAGGTTTAGTGAAGGTTTTATATGTTGATATGTTATTATGTTATTATGATGGATTTCTCAATGTTTATATGATATATATGTTATTATGATTTTATATGTTTAGTTAGGATTTCTCAATGTTTAGTAAGGGTGTCATTTTGGTTTAAGGATTATCTAGTAATTTTAATATTATTTGTTTTGGTGGATTATCTAGTATTTTTAATATGATTTGTCTTGGTTAATTATTAATATGATTTTAATAAAATTTATATTTTGTCTGCTATAGGGGTTACCTGTGAAGAGCAAAGTTGTGATCGTTTCCAAGCATCCTATTGCATAGCATTCTTAGAAGTTAGTGATTTCCTTACAGGTATTCTCTGTTTTGTTTAACTTTTATAGTTTAGTGTAGATTACTCAATTAGTATGGATAAAAAATGGATGTCTGGTAATCGATTGTCAAAAGAGTACGAGAATGGGGTATCGAAGTTCGTTAAGTTTGCTGTTGAATACGCCAAAGACCCCAATAGGATCACATGTCCTTGCTTAGGATGCTGTTATGGGCGTCGAGTTGACGCCGTTCAGTTGGAATCTCATTTAATGAGACATGGAATTGATCGAAGTTACACATGTTGGACATTACATGGTGAGATAAGTAACGAGAATGTTGAACCCCAGAATAATACGACATGTGCTTCAAAGGACAATGGCAGAGATACATATGATTGTGATCGAGTCGAAGAGATTGCAGAAGCACTTGAAGAAGATCTTCAAGATTGTCCCAAGATGTTTGAGAGGTTGGTAAGCGATGCAGAGAAACCGTTGTATAAAGGTTGCACTACTTTCACAAGATTGTCCGCGGTATTAAAGTTGTACAATTTAAAGGCGGGTAATGGATGGTCGGATAAAAGTTTCACAGAGTTGTTAGCCCTACTTCAAGAGATGCTTCCGGAGGATAATGTTCTTCCCAATCAAACCTATGAAGCTAAAAAAATGTTATGCTCTATTGGCATGAGCTATGATAAGATACATGCTTGTCCAAATGATTGCATTTTGTTTCGAAATGAATATGCATCATTAAACGAGTGTCCTAAATGCAGTGTATCTCGGTATAAGAAAAAATTGTCACCAGCAAAAGTATTATGGTATTTTCCTATAATTCCGAGATTCAGACGCATGTTTCGTAGTGAAACAGATGCAAAACACCTAACCTGGCATGCAGATGATAGAATTGTAGATGGGAAGTATCGACATCCGGCAGATTCACCACAGTGGATGAAAATTGATAATGATTATCCTGATTTTGGAGAAGAAGCTAGAAACCTTCGCTTGGCATTATCGACTGATGGAATGAATCCGCATGGTCTGCAGAGTATCTCACATTCTACCTGGCCTGTAATTATTATGATTTATAACCTACCTCCATGGCTATGTATGAAGCGTAAGTACATGATGTTATCTATGTTAATTTCTGGCCCTAAACAACCAGGGAATGACATAGACGTATACCTGACACCTCTAATCAAAGACTTAAAGAGTTTGTGGGAGAACAGTGTGGAGGTTTATGATGGATATAGGAAAGAAAGTTTCAATTTGAGGGCGATGTTGTTTGGCACAATTAATGATTTCCCAGCATACGGAAATCTATCGGGGTATAGCATTAATGGTCAATGTGCGTGTCCTATCTGTGAAGAAAACACAGATTGGACGCGGTTGGAATTTGGTCAGAAGAATGTCTTTCTTGGTCATCGTAGATTCTTAAATTCTAGTCATCACTACCGTGGGTGGAGAAAAGCATTCAATGGAGATTCAGAACAACGTAAAGCTCCACCTACATTGACCGGCGAACAAATTTTTGAAAAGGTGAAAGATGTGAGTACTAAGTTTGGCAAGCCTTTTGCTCATACGCTTGTCACGCGTGGGTGGAAGAAGAGGTCAATTTTGTTTGAGTTGCCGTATTGGAAGTCATTGTATGTAAGACATTTTCTTGATGTTATGCATATTGAAAAAAATTTATTTGAAAGTGTTATTGGTACGTTACTTAATATACAAGGAAAGTCTAAGGATGGCCTTAAAGCAAGAAAGGACTTGGTAGCAATGGGAATAAGGAATGAATTAGGACCCTTGAAGAAAAGAAACCGCACATATCTACCACCTGCTGCTTATACTTTATCTAGAAAGGAGAAAAAGATATTGTGTAAGTTTCTGAGTGAAGTTAAAGTTCCAGAAGGATACTCTTCAGATATTAGAAGACTTGTTTCTATGAAAGACCTCAAGTTAAAAAGTTTAAAGACACATGACTGCCATGTTATAATGGAACACTTTCTACCAATAGGTATACGTTCTATTTTTCCAGAAAAAGTGAGAGGCGCAATAACTAAATTGTGTTTTTTCTTTAGGTCAATCTGTAGTAAGGTGATAGATCCTGCGATCTTACCAACATTGAAAAGAGAAATAGTTATTACTTTGTACGAGCTTGAAATGTATTTTCCTCCATCATTTTTTGACATAGTGGTACATCTAGTTGTTCATCTTGTGAAAGAGACACAACTGTGTGGACCTGCCTATATGAGATGGATGTACCCTGTTGAACGTTATATGAAAATATTGAAAGGGTATGTGAAAAACCGAAGTCGACCAGAGGGATGTATTGTTGAACGATACATTGTTGAAGAAGCTATTGAGTTTTGTACTGAATATTTGTCCAACGTTCAATCCATTGGCCTCCCAAAATCTCATGTTGTTGAAAA